ACTCTATTTTCTTATTATAATGACAAACTTCAACCTCCCACAGGCTTAGTCCAATAAATCAACTCCAGCTTAATCCAAACATTAAGCTCAGATATCAAATATTCTCTTTCTAATTTGATTTAATAAATATTTGTTTTCATCTGCAAACAGGGCTGAGTTTGTTTGTATGGGCTGCAAGAGGAAATCGTGGTGGCGATCTGAAGGAAAATAAGTTATCTCTTTTGCATGAATTTGTTCAACAAAACAGACAAACATACTCACTCGCACATTGGCAAACATACGCATGTGAAACCAAGACCTCAGCCTCTAATTGTATTATCTATCTCCGGGATGAGCAGAAATGGTAATCAAGTACGCTGAAAAGAGCTGAGAGAAAATCAACAGAGACTTGAATCACACGCTTGAAGATTTGCTTTTGTGGGATACGTTCAACACAACTGACCAATACCATTAACTAAATCTGATTCTGCTTCTAAATCTGAATTAGATTCCAATAAAGTTAAATTGAGTTAGGCATAATTTCATCAAAGGGTAGTCAGTAATACGACATCAATGGCCTCTTTCAGGCAAGTCAAACTGTTGCACTGTTAAAGATTGTTTATCATTTAAATATTCATTTCTTCAAAAGATTTGCTTGGTCTTGACACGATTAGACGGATGATAAGATTTTAGTATCCAGGTATGCAACTTGAGCCAAAAAGGAAAATAAATGTTTGTCAACATACTCAATTTCCCTTTGTGCTGTCTGTCAAGAAAGCAGGCATGCTGTGTGTCAATATTTATATTAAATATACTGATTTATTTATATTTATTGGTTATATGGCTTGCAGATGAATTCAAATCAGTCCTGGCAGAACTATAAAAAAGGAGGCAGGGAGTAAATGCAGGCATAAGGAAGGAAGTTTGTCTTTATTCATCCTGAGTTCTTCCGCTCTACCCAGCAACCTTTGCCGATTGATGACATCACCAGACTTAATGAGGAGGGCTGTGGAGTGACTACATTACCAGTCAGGATTTTCCATTCTTTCCTTAGCGAACACACACCAAAATCACACAGACGGCTCTGCTCTGCATTTCTTAGACATGACTGTGTGTTATGTCGTCTCAGCATTATACCGTGTCAGCATTCATTTAGCGAGCTACACTTTCAAAGTCAAGAATGTGTGAATTTCTTTGTGTTTGTGGTGGTTACCATTGCGGGAGAGACTCAACAGTTGATTTGCTAATGGGAGAGCGACACTTGTATTAATCAATATTTGCTGACTGCCTCCCTGGCTGATTGACTGACTATGCAGTTAGTTGAGTGACTGGCAGGCTAACTCACAGCCTGACTGGCTGAGCGAATGGTGAGCTTGCTTGACTGCTCGGCTAAATTTCTAACTGAAAACCGTTTAGAACAGTTTAACAAGAAATAGAACATTTCACTACAACAGCAAAGAAAAAAAGGGATAGGATTGCTTACTATGTGCTTCACTAGCATTTGATATATGATTATATGGGTAAGAAAATATTTTACATTTGTGAAGTGACTAATAAGGAAGCAGGAAGGAAGTGCTTTTAGATTTTACATATGAGTATATAGGTTCCAAAATTGGACTTACTGAAAAAAAAAAAAATCAGTGACCCCAGGACATAGCTCAGAAAACTTGCTCACGCATTACTACTCCTATCTGACAGCATTATGGGTGTTGTTGAAGGATCTAATAATTGTTTTTTTCATCAGACTTTATTTCTGTAGGTACATCACATTTTGTGTGTTTGGATTTATCAGAATTTTATGACTGAAGGTTTGAGGAAAAGGTGACTCTAGGTAATGATCTAGGTTGGTAAGAGTAACTTGTTTAGTAGTATAAAGGCCATATTCCTGTTCTATTTTCTACTCCCACCCCCCATTTTACAGCTCATTCATCGTGCATTTTGGCAGATGCATAGAATGCTTATCCTGAGATTCAAAATTGAAAGGTGTAAGAGGAATAGGCTGGTAGAAACACTAAGAAAAGAAAGAGCAAGTCAGAGGAGATATGGAAGCAAGAAAATAGTGGAGGGGAAGTGGGTGGGTGGCCAAGGAGCAATTTCTTTCTTGAATAAAATAGAAAAATGGGAGGAGGTTATAAAGAAAAAAGGCCTAATGGCAAGTCTCCTGGTTCTGGTAAAATAGACACTGTTATAGGTTCTTGCTCTTATTCGTTGAATCGTTCAGTTATTCTTTCCGTGCTCCTCCGTCAAGTCAAGTGCTCGCCTGTCTGTCTTTCTCTTTTGTGTCCACAGGTCTAGATAAGAGCTGCTAGTATGACTGCCTGGTCGTCATTTAGTTATTATGGGGGGAGAGAGAAAGAGAGGATGAAAAGACTAATTCTACTGACAGATAAATGGCTCAGTATGAATGGCCTTTCTCTTTTTTAAATTCACTCTCTCATTCTCCTCTGTTCAAATATTTGCTGTTCTCCCATTCTCACCTGACTGCTCTTCAGTCCTCACACACGCACACACACACTTCACTATGACACACAGCCTAATATGCATCTGGAGTTGTCTCTTTGAGAGCTATTAAAATGAGATCTTCTCTTCGCTAATCCATATTATTGGACGGTAAGGCCTGTCATGCCCCCTGAATAATAACTTCTGATAGTTCCACATAACTACAGTTTCCAGAGTGTGACAGCCCACTGCTCAAATGTGTGAGCTTCTCTTAGAATTTGAATCAGCAGAAATGATTGTTTATTCATCTGTGTTTACGTGTTTGCACAGATTTCTTTTATATCCAAAAAGCAGATATGCACAATTTACTGGGGGATAACAAGAGATGTGGCTATATAAGAATTAAAATGAACATGCACACAAATATAAGTCTAAATAAAAGAACATCTTATGTAACTGGACCTCTCCATAAATATGTTATACATGTATGTATGTGTGCGTGCATGTGTTTGTGTCCTGGTCTAAGGTTGGGTGGCTCTGTGTGTCAAACATGACGTGCAGCACACGCACAGAAACACACGTACCCAAGCCTTGTTATCCGGGGGCCTGTCTTGCAGGCAGCCTCTCTAACGCTGAGTGATGTTTAAATTAGTTTACAATTTAGGCTCCTCGCTATCCACAGACGGCTCTTAACTCAGCGTGTGTATGTGATACGTTTGGTTTTGTGTGTGTTTGTGCGTGTGAGAGCGTAACAAATTGTTGCCAGTACGGCAGACATCTAATGACTTCAAATTAGCTGCCTGGCGCTCGTCTTGACACGTTGTTACCACTGTTAGCAGCCTTTGTGTGCGTGTTTAGCGGATCTGCTTGTGTGTGTGTGCAGCACTGCGCAGCCATATCATGAAACATAAATTGGCTTCACCACCCCTCTCTCTACCCCTGTCTTTTTTCTCTTTTGTCTCTTTGTCTCTCTCCATCAATTTGATTAAAAAATTACTGTACCATGTCGAGCAAAGACTTGTGCATGTGTGCACACTCTGCAGTCATCTCTCACATGCACTTTCACACAAGATGTGAAACAAGATGGCTGCAAACAAGTTAACAGTTCTAGCCACCACTATTCAAGGTGTGTGAATGTGTGTGTCAGAAGCTGATAAAGAACGTGGAGGAGGCGTATTTCTTTCTGACAACCTCTCCTTCTGTGAGTGAGCAGTAGATCACTTTGCGTGTGGACGTGTGTGTGTGTGTGTGTGTGTGTCTGGTGTGAGTGAGTGTAAGATCGGTGTTCAGTGCTGTAAACAGTGAGGATTTCATAAGGTGCTCACATCACATCACACAGACATACAACACACACTCGGAAGATGAAGAGTTCTATCTTTCTCTGAGCAGTGGATTGCCTTCCTCATTCATCTAATCATGCCATCTTCTCTCCTCCTCCAAGCAATCGTTGCACTTGGCTCCCTTTTTACAGAAAGCTACACACATGCTAAGCACACACACAAACCGACCCTCACACTTAAATTCTATGCCCAGCAGATAAGTTGGTTAACTTAGTCCACTTGTAAAAAATTGTAAGCAGGGGAAACAACAGCCCATGACTATACAATAAATTCTTCACATAAAGCATGAAATGAAGTTGTGTAGTGTGTGACTGAGACATTTCTGTGTGTGTAAGCAAATTGTTCGGCAGGGAGGCTCAGAGGTGAGAAACAGAGCAAAGGGCAGGAAAGAAAGGGTCACTGGAGGATTAAGTAAGAGGTAAGCATTGAAGGGATGACATAAGATTGATGTTATATTTTGTTTTAAAAAGAGAAAAATACATTTTCACTGTTATTCTTAGTATATGGATCAATATAAATGTCTGCGTATTGTCCATACAGCAACATACAGATCAATACACTTAGAGGCTTTGTGAATACATGGTTCTCTTTCCTCTTCCTCCCCTCACTGTTAACATATATATATATATCATATCATTCAGCATACTTAAAAGCATTGTATGTCCAGAATAGAGCATTTACCCTTCCAAAATCACTTGTACCATTGTGTGTGAAGAGTGGCAACAGTACAGACGTACACACACACACATTATATATATATATGACTAGGTTTTATTACATTTCTTTTACTCAGATATCCTATTTTAATTTGTAATCTTGTAGTGCAAATTCAACTCCGAACAGATTAAGTGAAAAGCAGTTATTTTAAGAGGATTAGATTCAGTTCTTTTCTGTAGTGAGGAACAGATGTGTGACAGTATAAAACCCAACCATCCATCCATCTAACTATCCATGCCTTATTATCACATGGCTCTGTTCACTATGTGCAGTTTAATTTCAAACAGATTTTGAATAGCCAATCAAAATGAGCACCCACTTAAAATAAAATAGAATCCTAGACACTAAGGTAGAGATATGTAGGTTATTTAACTATTTTCCGATTTGTTGATTGAGTTGCCTAAATGCACATATTTCACTTAAGCCAGACTTTTGCCTCAAAAACTTTATTACTGTGTTTGTTTGTGTTAATGATGAAAATATCACTGTGGATGTGACCAAATAATCATGTAGTTTTTTCCTACCCGGAATGTGTTTGGCCCAACCGATGTTGACCACCAGTTCTCTGTCGGCCAGATCACACAGCGTAGTCAGGGCCTTGATGTCGCTGTCTGGTACAGTAGGGTCAGGCATGGCATAAATCTTCTCTGGCTCGGCCACAAGCAAGTGAGAGACGATTTTGTTATCTGCAAGGCAGCCAAAGGCAACTGACATGACCACCAGACAAGGAGAAAAGACAGAGACAGAGAGATGGTGAATTTTTGCGTTGATGGGCTGCAAGATGTACCACACCAACCCGGTGCAAATATGTGAAAGATCACATGCAAAATCCTCAATAATACATATTGCAAGGAACATACTTTGAAAAATCTTTACTCGTGAAATAAAAAAGTTTTGGCATTGATAACAATAAAAAACTGAGGACATATTGTATAAAATCAGACAGTACAGGGACATTCAAACACGTGTTGCACTTTAGAAAAATGTTTAAATGTATTTACTCTTCTGAAATTCAAATAGAAACCATTTTTTCATATTTTGTTACGAAACATTGTATTTTATGTTTACAGGGTGTCTTAATATTGAGCTATAGTTATTAAAAACCAAACTTGAAAATGCACATGGAAAAAGAGCAAAACACTTATCGAAAGCTTTCCAAATGGGAGCTACTCCAAGGTGCGATTAAAAGTGATTACTACCAATGATCCAAGCAGCTGAAAATGCTGTCTTTTGTGTCACAGCCCTAAGAGGCTTCACTGATACAGACGGAAGGAAAAGATAAACACTGAGAGCTAAACAGCTCAGCTGGTAATGGTGACATGTGGTGATGAGACCTCTATGGCCCATTAGTAACAGACTGATATCCTGCTTCCAAATTAATCCATGAACTAATCAAGCATGAGAATGTTGATGAAGGATAAAGGAACAAGTCAAGAGTAAAAGATTGGAAAAGGGAGATTAAGAATAAAAAGTGGGAGAAGACAGGTAGGAAAAGAAGTCTGGACAGATCGCAAAAAAAAAAACAGATAGTAGGAGAGAGCAACAGAAAGAGAGGAGTTGTGATTTATATATACACACACACACACACACACACACACATATATATATATAGAGAGAGAGAGAGAGAGACAGACAGACAGACAGACAGACAGACAGACAGATAGATAGATAGATAGATAGATAGATAGATAGATAGATAGATAGATAGATAGATAGATAGATAGATAGATAGATAGATAGATAGATAGATAGATTAGAGGTTTAACTGTATCTAACCATATCCCAGGGTCATGTGAGCCCCACCAATCCAACTCACACTGTGCTCCGTGAGTAAATCTTATTTAATGTTTCCCTAATTAGAATCAATGGAAACCCATTTCCAAACCCTGGGCTATTGTTCTGTTTTCACACAATCAATGGGGACGCCAGGGCCAGGGATTGGGCTACAGATAGATAGGCTGGATGAGTGTGTCTGAGAGACACAGAGGGACTGAAAGATTTTCTGTGTATTGACTGTGTGAGCGAGAAATAAATGCGGGTTTGTTCTTTTGGCCAGACTTAAACTCAATGATGTCTAAAAAAGAAAACATGAAATATTGACTAAACAAAAATCTTGTTTTGTCCTCTGTTCCAAAACAACACACAGATTAGGTATTTTATGATAAAAATAAAATTACATTTTAGATACAAGTTTAACTTATTAATGAAAACTGATCGACAGAATAACTTGCTAACTAAGACTCTCAGTTTTACTGGAGCGCACACATGCACTGTACACACATGTTCACCTTATCCCATCATTTCAATGATTAGTGGTGCAAAAGTCCCAGTAAGCTGTTGTGCAGCCATTCAGCATATTGGCCTAAAGCAAAATATGCTCCAGCTTTAAGCAAAATGGGCTTTGGGGACCAAGCTGCTAAACACTGCTCAATCTGCACAGCATGTGTGTGCGTGTGTTATATGTGCAAGCAGACGGTTAGCTAGAGAGCTAACTCTAGGTTGATGTGGTTGCCAGATTGGATTTAATCCGGATTAGAGTTGTGGTTGGTCCCACCCCACCCCCTTTCCTCTGTCTCTCTCCGAGAAATGCTCTCATTTAGGTTTGGTCTTGGCCCTTCTCTACCTGCCTCTCCGTCTGTCTCACTTACTCTTGTTCTTTTTTCAGTCACTGTTTTTTTTTTTTATATATGGCAAACAATCCAGTCAGAGCTAAACGAATACATTTATGGAGAAATATTACGCACATAAAATGTTATGGCCCCAAACTGGTAGCAGTAGAAACTGGAAGATAAACATGCTCCCAAACAGATGGGCTTCAAACCACCTTGCATCTGGGTGTGTGGGTTAACGTGTCTGCAGAAACATTTTACAATCCAACTGTCTCTGTTGAGGTTGAATATTCAACACATACCCTTGAAAAACTAATATAATAGGGGCGAATTAAAATATTAAATTGTTGGTTTTGGAGTTTGAGTATTGTAACTGGAAATGCCTGGTTTGTTGCCACATACATCTACAATGTGTCCACAGTGTCCACAATGAAGCATTCCTTTCCTTTAAACTCCACCCTTTACAGAAAAAAAGCTTTTTTTTGCAAACAGATCTTGCATAGGTGTATGTGTGATCTCTTACATGGCTTCTTTGGAGGCAAAGCCAGCTGTGGATTCAGGTACGGGCTGTTGTCTGCATCTATCCGGCGTTTATATTTCTGTCTTCCACCACGAACCCTGTCCAGGCGTACTCCTGCAAGATATGAAAGAGAAGGGGGGCATGTATCAATGTAAAGGGCATAACAACAAAGCAAGGAGAAATTATACTCAGATAAAAACAACAAAAAAACAAATATGCAACTATTAAAGAAAGGTAAATCAGAAATTAAATGAGGGAACAGGAAAGATGGGAGCTTTAGATTGAAAGGAGGCGACTGGGACTTTGTGAACATATTCATTTGTTGATTTGCACTTCAATTCATGTTTATGTTATGTTACACTTGCTAAACACACATTTGTCTTTTTATTCTACTCTAACACTAATTTACAGAGTCAGCATTTGAGTAAGATGCCTCTTTTTCCACTTTGTCTCTCCAGGTTTCTAACTATACTGTCTACTGCCCAATCTTGATCTCCCTATTCCTGTCTCCCCCTCGTCTTGTTAATTAATTGACACAAAGGAGTTCTAATTGAATTAGGCCAATCTCTCAGGGGATTGGATGTTACCGTGGTTACCACTTAAAGGTGGATAAGGAAGACAAAGGTGTCGTGTAACCTGGAAAAGAAGAGAAATGTAAAAGACTGGAAAGGAAGGGAAAGGAAAGGAAAGGAAACTGACCAATGAAATTAAAAGTAATGGAGGAGGCACTAAAATACTTTTGCATTAAATCAAATAGAAACCAGTATTAAACGTGCACAACTAGAGTAATATGAATTCTTACAGCAACTGAAAATTCACTGAAAAAAATGAGAATTTAATCTATAAACACAGGAATGAGAGACTATATTAGCACACGAGAGATTTGCTCACACAGACATTGAAATCTGATGAAAAATGTGCTGACAACATTCAAGACAACACATATTTAACACAGAGACTTGTATTAGCAGCAAATGGAAAAATACTGGCAAAGATGTATGTGCACCTGGCTTTCTCTGTGAGTACCCGAAAATTTCTCTGATTTATTTTTAGATTTTAATGCATGCACTTCTGGTGATCTTTGTAATCTCTAAAATTTAAACTGTCTTTTTCTGTGTGTTATTACTTCACAAATTCTTCTTTTGGAAATTTGGAAAACTTTACAAAGCTCAGTGATTCATCTATCTTATGATCCAACAATGACACACATCTGTGTGTTTGCACGTGTGAAAGTGGCAGAAACAGAGCTGGGGGAACAGAAGGACTGACAGTCCAGGTACAGTAGGGTGCCAGTGTCAGCAAACGGTCAGGAGACTCATAACACCAGGAAGTACAAACCCATTCATACACGCATTGTTACCTTTTTCTTTCACATAAACCCTCACATAACGTTTATATATTTACATATATATTTTAACCCAAACCTCCACGTTGTGTTGGTGTGAGCCCTGACAAGCAGCTCAGGCAGTCCCTTTGTAAATGTTGGCAAGAAAAGAATATGAAAGAGCTCGAGGAGAAACATAGAAACAGTACACTGGTCAAGGATGAACAAAAAATGCAAAACAAAATAAATCATAAAAAAACAAAACAATGTAAAGTTCAGCAATTATGGATCCAGTCAGAAAGTTAGAATATAATTTTAAAGTAAATGTTTGGCTTTACCATGGGCCCCTCTACCCTGTACAGTCCTAAGCCTACTATGGTGTAAAAAACAAAACAAAACATAAAATCTAGCAAAAAAACCCAACAAAAACGGTCTACGTGATCATTGTTGCAAATCAATTGATCTTTGTGCCATAGTTCAAACAAGGAGATTTGAAATCATAGTAATTATGGTAATCAACAAAAAACAATCAAGTTTAAAAGTCCAATAAAATACTCAGACTTTCTCAAGGCTTCTTGTTAACGTTTGGGTTTTTTCTTACACATACATTCAGTGACTCCTTTCTTCTCTAGCTTTCCCATACACCTACAAGACTCACTTCATAAAGAGTCCTCTCTAACTACCTCATCTATTTTCCACCAAATTAACTCTCTCCCAGCACTGATTAATGATGAAATCTAAATGAATCAAATTAAAAATTGAAAATTATATCTCCAAAGCCCACAAAAAAGAGACAGGAAGAAGCTAGTTGGACAGTGAGAGTACGCTCCCTCCTCTTAACAAATGAGCCTTCAAACCATAAAAAATTGGCTATGGTGGAGAAGAGCAGGGAAATGGGGAGAAGGAGGTGACAGAGGAAATGTGCAATACAGAAGTAAAGGTGGGGATTAGAAAAAATGAAAGGTGATAAAAACATCATAGTAGAAACAAAGAACAAGGAATGTATATGAATGGAAAAAAGGGTGCAACCCTAACCCTAACCCTAACCCATTAAATCTAGGTATCACTGACGAAAGTATTAAGAAAGGACAATAGGAAAAAAATAAGAATAGAAAAATAAAAAAGCAAAGAGGCGTAAATCCCAAACTGTGAAACAGGGAGAATGACGGAGCTGAATTACGGACAGCCAAAAAAACAAAATATGAGGGGAAAATGTAAAAAAAGGAGGGGAAAAGGAACGATGAAATAAGGACTAAGAGAGTTAGACAGGCAGAAAACGGAAGGAATCTGGGAAATAAATAGATGTCAGCTAAAGACACATCTACAGTAAATCTTTAACAAATAGTATTGAACAAATAGCTTAATACTCCTAGCTTCACTTTTTTGTTTTTCTTCATCCACGATAATTACATTTTCCTACTAGTGTCATACGAACAGACATGCATTCATGCGTACACGAATACGTCTCAGTGACAGTGATGAAGGTAAATCGTTTCAATCATGGGAACATTGCTGTCTGTCAATAGTACGATCTCAACTGATCACATCACAATAGATTTTTACACTATAGGTCTGTCACTCTTTGTCAGCATGCGTGTGTGCCCGCATTCTTCAATGGTTGAAGTATTGCAAGTGAAATGCCTCTGACAAAAGACAGAGGGATAAGAAAAGAGAGAAAAGGATGGAGGGAAATCAGCACACTGATTGATTTCAGATAGTCCATGAAATGATAAGAGAAGAGGGAAAGAAGAAGAGTGAGAGTTGTATGGTGGGATGCAGGGAGAAGTAGATATACAGGTAAATACAAGATTTACTTTATCAAAGCAAAGAGTCACATTGGTAACAAAAAAAGTCGTCCCATTTTCCCCAGCCAGTTCCCCAGTTTTACACATGCTGTGTTTGAACATGTGTGTATATGTGTGTGCCAAACCACAATGTTGATGTAGTAACATTAGGGGTTTCATGTGTGGGTTTTGAAACAATGGATCAGGAGATTGATAAACTAACTCAATTAAATCTACTGTGTGCATGAAGCCTGTGTTACTTGTGTATCTGCTGACCAGTGGACATCAGACATGTCTTTAAATGAAAAAATACTTTGACAATGACTTGATTGATCCTCAATTTTAGACCCAAAGAGATAGGGTTCAGGGTAAGGAGAAAGAAAAAATTAAGAAAACAAACCCCCCAATTTTTAGGCAAAAAATAAGTAAAATTTGTTTGAATTAAATCAAAGGATATACATAAAGGGAGGAAAAATAAAGAGAGCATTAAAGAGGTAGGGGGGGATTTCAGGAGGAGAGTGTGTGTAGTGTCATGCAGTGACGTTTGTTTAGACCAGAACAGATCTGAACAGCCCTGCCCAAGGCAGTGAGCAGGTGGTTGTCACTGGTGTGTGAATTTGTCAGTGTGAGGCCCTTAGAATTTTTTTTCTTTGCGTTTAAGACAAATACATTTATAATTAAACTAATGTGCTGCTCATTTTAAGTATGTTTTAAAAATACTTTACACACTAAATGTTGTTTAGTGTTCTTGTCAGTAAGTGTCTATCCAGACAGATAATAAAACACACAACCACATTCCATATTACTCAGTCCTATGGAATTCCCGTTGAATCTGTCTGTATGAGGCCCACTCTTCTCGGATTCTCTGCTCTCCTAAGATAGAAAGTGTTTGTGAAAGAGAACGGGCCACTTAGGCCGATCTCCCATCACTCCATTTCCATTATCGCTACTTTCTAGCGAGGATGGAACCAGATGCCTGTCGCACACTCACGCAGGACAGACGCTACAGGGCCAGATTTAGCTACAAGTCTCCCACGGGGGAACACCAGACGCCACCAGTTGTCTGGCGCTCCCCTCCTTTGTTTCCCCTCTGCTCTTGTCTCCTCCCCTCTCTTCATCACCCACTGTCTTCCTCTCTGCTTTCACATTTTTCCTTTTACATCCTTGCACATTCCCATTTTAGCTATCTTATGGCCCTCCATGCCACTTGTTCCTCATCATTTAATCGCCTTATGTGTACTGTATGACAACACTTGTGTCTGCTGCCTTGACTATTGCATGTATGACTGAGTGTGCAGAGCAATGAGATTGGATAGCAGCAGTCAAGTTCGCTGAGGTATGAGGAGAGTCATGCTACACACAACCAGCTGTATGCACAAACCAAACACATACACACACACGCACACACACACAGCAATACTGACACAGACTGGGGCCTTCCACCCGATCTCACTCATTAGGTCTCAGAGGCCATGGGGAGCATGGCCAAAGCTGGCATGAGGCGTTAATGTGTGTGTGTGTTTATATGTGTGTGTGAGGGGCATCATGCCAAGGCTTATATTTTCTGTCCGAGAACTTGTCCCTCCAGAAGACTACGATCTGAATCCAGCTGGCTGTTTATGACTTCATAGAGATACAGGCTTTGGATTGAACACTCTCTGCGTGTTTATCTATGATTCATCAGGAATGCCTTCACTAAAGCCACTGTATAAGGGAGCAAATGAGTTAGTCTGAGCATATGTACTGAATACTGCTGGCTCATGGATAGTTTGACACTGCCAAAACCTTTCATGTTCACTTCTCTGATGCTTTGAATCACATTCCTTATAATTCCACACCTTACCGTTCATGCTAAATGTGTCATCCCTATCAAGCGTTATCATTTCTACAGAGTCAAATATAATTGATATCACAATGCTGTTTTTGTTTGTTAAAAATATATCACACCTATCCATATTATATTATTTTTGATGCAACCCTCTTACCTGGGGTTCTATCCTTGCCGTCCCTCCTGCTTTCGCCCCTCTTGGCAGAATTATGTTCCACCCCCATGACCTTTTTGGTCTTCAGCTGACGCATCATTATGACCTCATTAAAAATGGACAGACAGCTATTGCCAGAGGGGTAGTTCTCATAATATAATCAGTTCTTTTAATTGCCTTGCTCCAGAAATTAGCTGCCACATATTGGTGGGTGGGTGCCCCATGTTTATTCCTTCTTTCAGTTTATCTGATGCCTGGCCATTTACTCCTCTCCACACACTGGTGACTGAGAAAATCCAACAATCCACACAGACTGAGCTGTCCTTGAGTTCATTCACGTCATCAACAAAGATTTTTTCACCGTACATGGAAAGAAAGAGGTGGTCTGAGGTGGTTTACTGATCCTCTGGCCACACACTTAGCTCACTGCGTCACACATACACACAAACTTCCTTACTGCCTCACTTGCTCTTCATCTCACCCTGTGTGTCTCCCAGTGCGACAAAGTTAATTTTAGGCAGATCTTGCCCTAAGGGGTAAACTACAACGTACACTCCTACACACACTCACCATCATCTTCCCCATGTCACCTTAACAACTATATCCTCATCTTTCTCCTGTGAGCTAGCTGCAGAAGGCCACAGTTGGTAATGCTGCTAATTGATCTATTCACTTAACATCATCATCTGTATTTTTTCATGAACATTTCTCATGCCGAGAGGAGCTGGACACACAATGAGTGATGTACCAAAATGAGGGGAGTGTATAATCTGCAGACAATTTGTCCATTGGTCTTTCAAAAGATATACATCATAATACAACAACAAAAGCCAGACAAGGTGTACCACCATAATGTTCTAAAAATGGTGTATTGGAAAATGTAATTACCATAAAAACAAAACAAAAATACATAATATGGTGATAGATTATATTGATTTAGGAGAGATTTGATGGAATGTTTAAAGGCGCACCAAACACCTGAAAAGGTAAGGTGTGAAAGTTTCAGCTGTAACTTAAGAGACATTGCTTTTGTTGCTTAAATATACTGAAAATCATTTGGCACCATTGTTCAAAGTCTATGTGCTGCTCAATCTAGAAAGTATCATGTATGCACACCATGGCTGTATCTCTGTGTTTAAAATAAACAACATACTGATAAAACCATTAACATATGGTATCTGATATGTGAAAAGGGCTTTATTCTAACAAAAATTAAAGAAGAAGGAATCTATGGTGGAGAAAAAACATTCCAGTCTTCTATATATTGCAGCTGTAGATAATTTGTTCAAGGTTTACAAAAGAACTTCAGTAGAACTTGTATTAAATTCACACCATATATAAAAAATGTGGTGGCTGTGGTTCGTCATGGTGATATATAGATATTAAGGCCAATGTGTGTGTGCATGATATGTGTGTTTAGAGTAGCGAAACAGTGCTGACAAAAGGCAGCTGTTTCTTTGTCTGCTCAGGACATTTTGGTTTCAAACATGGATAAATATATTCAACAGAATTAGTTGTTTTGTTTTATCAAAGACTACAAAATGTGTCTTACATTAGTCTTTTCTTACACACTTTAAACACACCTATTCCTCGTGAATAAAGTGCCCTGTCTGACTTGTAGGCAAGAGGGATGAGTGTTCTTTGTCAAGAGGGAGGATGTAGACTGTATCTTATGACCATGAAGCTGTTAGAGCTGCCAATAATACATGCCACTATACATGTGTGTATGTGTGTTTTGTGACCTCATGCACAAACAAGACAAAACAGGAGAAATGAGACACAGGTTCTGCCTATGTCAGATCAGCTGGGAGAGCAAATGCTACGACAGCAGCTTGTTAGGATGTGTACATGCACTTGTGTGTCTTTCTGAATGTGCACTGGTGAGAAAAAGAGACAGCGATCCACATGCTTTTATGGTCAAGGGAAACGGAGGTTGCTGGCAGCTATTACAAATTCTGATTTAGAGGCACGTACTGATTGTTATGTTTTTGTTCAGAGGAGTCAAAACTGGACGTTTTAGATTTGGTGTTGCAGAAGAGAAGTTTGCCTCTAACCGCTCTGCGTGACAATGTCAGGCATGAATATTTTGATGTTGATAGATTGTGTAGAAGAGTGAATGAAGAAGACAATGACTGGATGACGGACATAAAAAAAGGCACCAGAAAGAAAGAGCAATAACAGTGAGTGGGAGAAGTGCAGGGTGAGATGAAGACAGGAATGGATGGAGGGTGGGCTGGCAGGCGTCTGCACA